CATCTCCCTCCCTAGGTAATCACCGCTCTGTGCAGCCTTTCCTGCCTTCCAGCAACTTAACCCATTCTTGGCCTCGGCTAACTGCTGATTGTCTTGTCAGCCTGGACAATGCAGGATCTGTCCCTCTTCAGTCTGTCAGCCTTCCAGTGTTCCCTATGCAGGACATGTTCCGTGTCACTTGCCAGCCACTACAAGATAGTACCCAGTCTGCAGTACACAATGTCTGCAACGGTTTGCACAGCCAAGATGTGTCTCATACACACAGTAGTGTGTCCCTCATGTAACAGTTTGCACAGCCAGAATGTGTCTCATACACACAGTAGTGTGTCCCTCATGTAACAGTTAGCACAGCCAGAATGTGTCTCATACACACAGTAGTGTGTCCCTCATGTAACAGTTTGCACAGCCAAGATGTGTCTCATACACACAGTAGTGTGTCCCTCATGTAACAGTTTGCACAGCCAAGATGTGTTTCATACACACAGTAGTGTGTCCCTCATATAACAGTTTGCACAGCCAAGATGTGTCTCATACACACATTAGTGTGTCCCTCATGTAACAGTTAGCACAACCAGAATGTGTCTCCTACACACAGTAGTGTGTCCCTCATGTAACAGTTTGCACAGCCAAGATGTGTCTCATACACACAGTAGTGTGTCCCTCATGTAACAGTTAGCACAGCCAAGATGTATACACACATTAGTGTGTCCCTCATGTAACAGTTTGCACAGCCAAGATGTGTCTCATACACACAGTAGTGTGTCCCTCATGTAACAGTTTGCACAGCCAAGATGTGTCTCATACACACAGTAGTGTGTCCCTCATGTAACAGTTTGCACAGCCAAGATGTGTCTCATACACACATTAGTGTGTCCCTCATGTAACAGTTTGCACAGCCAAGATGTGTCTCATACACACAGTAGTGTGTCCCTCATTTAACAGTTTGCACAGCCAAGATGTGTCTCATACACACAGTAGTGTGTCCCTCATGTAACAGTTTGCACAGCCAAGATGTGTCTCATACACACATTAGTGTGTCCCTCATGTAACAGTTTGCACAGCCAAGATGTGTCTCATACACACAGTAGTGTCTCCCTCATGTAACAGTTTGCACAGCCAAGATGTGTCTCATACACACAGTAGTGTGTCCCTCATGTAACAGTTTGCACAGCCAAGATGTGTCTCATACACACAGTAGTGTGTCTACCTTGTGCGACACAGAATGGTTTACAAAGCCTCATGTGTGTATATGCTTAAATTTCTCCAACTGAGATTTTGTCACGGTTAGCATTCCCAGACCATATTCAATTACTGACAGAACAATGCACTGACTGACTGAGTGTGTTTAACATCCCTGATTCTATGTCTGCAGCAGCCATAACCTTCAGTGCATAGAGGCCTCTCTTTGCTCTTATGGTGATTACATCGCTGTAGTAATTGACAGACAGCCCTTGGTGGAATTACCTCCCAAATAATGTTTCACTTTACTGTGATCTTAGGGACCCCTTGCTTTAACAAGTCTTCTGCCCAATGGACACCACAATGTGGATGCTTTGTTTGGGTTTATCAAAGATCCTGTGTCTCTACACCAATCGTTAATTGGATCGACCACCAGCTAGAGCTCCTCTGATATCCTTTTCCTATCCATAACCCCTCTGTATACCAGCCCATCATCTGTGAGCACTCTTCCTATCCCTGCCCCATCTGTACACCAGCCCATCATCTGTGAGCACTCTTCCTATCCCTGCCCTATCTTTACACCAGCACATCATCTGTGAGCACTCTACCTATCCCTGCCCTATCTGTACACCAGCACATAATCTGTGAGTACTCTTCCTATCCCTGCCCTATCTGTACACCAGCAAATCATCTGTGAGCACTCTTCCTATCCCTGCCCTATCTGTACACCAGCACATAATCTGTGAGTACTCTTCCTATCCCTGCCCTATCTGTACACCAGCACATCATCTGTGAGCACTCTTCCTATCCCTGCCCTATCTGTACACCAGCACATCATCTGTGAGCACTCTTCCTATCATCTGTGAGCACTCAACCCCTGAGTGCTACACTGGTCTGTGAGACAACATCAGTGAGCACTCTTCCTAGAAGTGCTGACTGGTCTATGAGACAACATCAGCCAAGGAGTGTCGCTCACATCTGTGAGCATCAACAAGGAATGCTCTGGTCTGTGATGAGACAACATCAGCTATGAGACAACATCAGCCAGAGGATGCTGATGACTGGTCTATGAGACAACATCAGCCAAGGAGTGATGACTGGTCTATGAGACAACATCAACCAAGGAGTGATGACTGGTCTAGAGACAACATCAGCCAAGGAGTGATGACATGAGACAACATCAGCCAAGAAGTGATCGTCTGACTGGACAACATCAACAAAGGAGTGATGACTGGTCTATGAGACAACATCAGCCAAGAAGTGCTGACTGGTCTGTGAGACAACATCAGCCAAGAAGTGCGACTGGTCTGTGAGACAACATCAGACAAGGAGTGATGACTGGTCAGCAACAAGGAGTGATGACTGGTCTGTGAGACGACATCAGCCAAGAAGTGCTGACTGGTCTGTGAGACAACATCAGCCAAGAAGTGCTGACTGGTCTATGAGACAACATCAGCCAAGGAGTGTCGACTGGTCTATGAGACAACATCAGCCAAGAAGTGCTGACTGGTCTATGAGACAACATCAGCCAAGGAGTGTTGACTGGTCTATGAGACAACATCAGCCAAGGAGTGCTGACTGGTCTATGAGACAACATCAGCCAAGGAGTGATGACTGGTCTATGAGACACATCATCAGCAAGGAGTGATGACTGGTCTATGAGACAACATCAGCCAAGGAGTGATGACTGGTCTATGAGACAACATCAGCCAAGGAGTGTCGACTGGTCTATGAGACAACATCAGCCAAGGAGTGATGACTGGTCTATGAGACAACATCAGCCAAGGAGTGATGACTGGTCTGAGACAACATCAGCCAAGAGTGATGACATGAGACAACATCAACCAAGGAGTGATGACTGGTCTATGAGACAACATCAGCCAAGGAGTGATGACTGGTCTATGAGACAACATCAGCCAAGGAGTGATGACTGGTCTATGAGACAACATCAGCCAAGGAGTGATGACTGGTCTATGAGACAACATCAGCCAAGGAGTGATGACTGGTCTATGAGACAACATCAACCAAGGAGTGATGACTGGTCTATGAGACAACATCAGCCAAGGAGTGATGACTGGTCTATGAGACAACATCAGCCAAGAAGTGTCGACTGGTCTATGAGACAACATCAGCCAAGGAGTGATGACTGGTCTGTGAGACAACATCAGCCAAGGAGTGATGACTGGTCTGTGAGACAACATCAGCCAAGAAGTGTCGACTGGTCTATGAGACAACATCAGCCAAGAAGTGTCGACTGGTCTTTGAGGCAACATCAGCCAAGGAGTGATGACTGGTCTGTGAGACAACATCAGCCAAGGAGTGATGACTGGTCTGTGAGACAACATCAGCCAAGGAGTGATGACTGGTCTGTGAGACAACATCAGCCAAGGAGTGATGACTGGTCTGTGAGACAACATCAGCCAAGGAGTGATGACTGGTCTGTGAGACAACATCAGCCAAGGAGTGATGACTGGTCTGTTAGACAACATCAGCCAAGAAGTGTCGACTGGTCTATGAGACAACATCAGCCAAGAAGTGTCGACTGGTCTGTGAGACAACATCAGCCAAGAAGTGTCGACTGGTCTATGAGACAACATCAGCCAAGAAGTGTCCACTGGTCTATGAGACAACATCAGCCAAGAAGTGTCGACTGGTCTGTGAGACAACATCAGCCAAGGAGTGTCAACTGGTCTTGGAGAGAACATCAGCCAAGGAGTGATGACTGGTCTATGAGACAACATCAACCAAGGAGTGTCGACTGGTCTGTGAGACAACATCAACCAAGGAGTGATGACTGGTCTGTGAGACAACATCAGCCAAGAAGTGTCGACTGGTCTATGAGACAACATCAGCCAAGGAGTGTCAACTGGTCTGTGAGACAACATCAGCCAAGAAGTGCTGACTGGTCTGTGAGACAACATCAGCCAAGAAGTGCTGACTGGTCTGTGAGACAACATCAGCCAAGAAGTGCTGACTGGTCTGTGAGACAACATCAGCCAAGAAGTGCTGACTGGTCTGTGAGACAACATCAGCCAAGGAGTGATGACTGGTCTGTGAGACAACATCAGCCAAGAAGTGTCGACTGGTCTATGAGACAACATCAGCCAAGGAGTGTCGACTGGTCTGTAATATCAGCCAAGGAGTGTCAACTGGTCTGTGAGACAACATCAGCCAAGAAGTGCTGACTGGTCTGTGAGACAACATCAGCCAAGAAGTGCTGACTGGTCTGTGAGACAACATCAGCCAAGAAGTGCTGACTGGTCTGTGAGACAACATCAGCCAAGAAGTGCTGACTGGTCTGTGAGACAACATCAGCCAAGAAGTGCTGACTGGCCTGTGAGACAACATCAGCCAAGAAGTGTCGACTGGTCTGTAACATCAGCCAAGGAGTGTCAACTGGTCTGTAATATCAGCCAAGGAGTGATGACTGGTCTGTGAGACGACATCAGCCAAGAAGCGCTGATTGGTCTGTGAGACAACATCAGCCAAGGAGTGTCAACTGGTCTGTGAGACAACATCAGCCAAGGAGTGATGACTGGTCTGTGAGACAACATCAGCCAAGAAGTGCTGATTGGTCTGTGAGACAACATCAGCCAAGGAGTGTCAACTGACCTGTAGAGGTCTGGGAGTAGCCTCATGTACTGAATATGGCTAACATCCTGACACTGTGGTTCAGTTTCTCTCATAGTCTGTTCTGGTTCTATCAGTTCATACAGTGGTACATCAGTACTTTCATAAATTTCCTGTAAAAGTAAGAATGATTTAACATATAATCATATGTAATTTTACTAAAATGATAACCACTTCTGTGAGTGACATACCAGTCATAGCCTTCTGAAAATGAACCTTCTATCGCTGGGGAGATAATCTTAGCAGCGTACTTGATGCAGCGTTCAGCCTCGTATTTCCTGAGGTCGAAAAAAAAAAAAAACAACTGAAGTTCTCATATTTCATGAACAATACAAGTTTCAGGTTTCATAGTTTCAATTTGTAAAACTTTGCTTTTTTACATAAATAAAAAATGTTATGGTTCTTGCAAATATGAAAAGGTGACTGCCCCCCAGAACCTGAGTTGCGTGTGCATCCGTTTTCCAGATCTGACTCATTTGTATGCAAACTGCTGGTTCCTTGCCTCTAAGGCAGATGTACTCCGACTTCAAAAGAAGCTCCCAATTAGTCGACTCTTACGACAAGCTTTTGGGTCGGCAATAGGTCTATTCTTGTTTTCCCTATAATAGGGCCCCGGAACCCACACCAGGAGGTTCTGAGTTTCAAACAAGAAAAGCTGTTAGCTGGTTGCATCCGCTGCTGTCAGTTTGAAAAGCTCTTAGTCTCAGGCATTTCTTCATGCTCAGTATTGTCTGTGTCAGTCAAACAAAAGTTAAAGAAGGAAAACACGTTATTATGTAACTCATACACAATGTACAGCTATAAAACTGTCAGCTTGTCTCTCCTAGACATTCGGTTGGTGAATTGTGTCCAACAGAGACAGACAGTGTGACTATAAAACTGTCAGCTTGTCTCTCCTAGACATTCGGTTGGTGAATTGTGTCCAACAGAGACAGACAGTGTGACTATAAAACTGTCAGCTTGTCTCTCCTAGACATTCGGTTGGTGAATTGTGTCCAACAGAGACAGACAGTGTGACTATAAAACTGTCAGCTTGTCTCTCCTAGACATTCGGTTGGTGAATTGTGTCCAACAGAGACAGACAGTGTGACTATAAAACTGTCAGCTTGTCTCTCCTAGACATTCGGTTGGTGAATTGTGTCCAACAGAGACAGACAGTGTGACTATAAAACTGTCAGCTTGTCTCTCCTAGACATTCGGTTGGTGAATTGTGTCCAACAGAGACAGACAGTGTGACTATAAAACTGTCAGCTTGTCTCTCCTAGACATTCGGTTGGTGAATTGTGTCCAACAGAGACAGACAGTGTGACTATAAAACTGTCAGCTTGTCTCTCCTAGACATTCGGTTGGTGAATTGTGTCCAACAGAGACAGACAGTGTGACTATAAAACTGTCAGCTTGTCTCTCCTAGACATTCGGTTGGTGAATTGTGTCCAACAGAGACAGACAGTGTGACTATAAAACTGTCAGCTTGTCTCTCCTAGACATTCGGTTGGTGAATTGTGTCCAACAGAGACAGACAGTGTGACTATAAAACTGTCAGCTTGTCTCTCCTAGACATTCGGTTGGTGAATTGTGTCCAACAGAGACAGACAGTGTGACTATAAAACTGTCAGCTTGTCTCTCCTAGACATTCGGTTGGTGAATCGTGTCCAACAGAGACAGACAGTATGACTACAAACCCAGCTGACACAGAGAGCTACAAATTCTCACAACAGTTGTCTGTATTTAAAACATCTGCTCTCTTTATTCAAACTGTTGACCATATTTGAGGCTGTCGTCAGATGGGGAATCTGAACACCATACCGACTCCCTGCACAAAGTACGACATGAGAATAAACACAGTGAAGAATTAGACAATGAGGATAGGCAGGAAACATAATATCATGAACGCTCATGTTAACGGTACTACAATCAAACAAGCATGAGAATTCACATATCTACGAAGCATATTTACGGAAGATGGCAGACTTGACATAGAGACAAAAGCCAGGGTACAGAAGGCAAATACTGTCACCTACCAGTTAGCCCCACTGCTTAACACTCATGTGTCTTCAGCAAAACAGCAAATGATTGATAGCATCTTTACCCCTACTTTGGGTTATCAGTGCCAAACATGGACAATGAATAGGGCATCACAACAGAAAATAACTACACATGAAATGTGCTGTCTCCGTGAGGTCACTAAAAACACTAGATAGGGTTACGAATACCAGCATTAGAGAGAAAGTTGGAATAAGACCACGTCTGAATTATATTGACAGGCAGAAAATGAAATGGTTTGGTCATCTAATGAGAGGGCAGCCAACACCTGGGAGGAAGGCGAGAGGAAGACCAAGAAAGAGATGGATAAATGGTGTAGCTGAAACCTGCAAAAAGATGAACAAATTCATCACTCAAGCCACCTGAGAAGCGCAAGACAAATACAGAAAACAACAACACTAGGCCACAACCTGGTATCAGTAAGACAAAAGAAGAAGAAGAAAAAGAGTCGGAGAGGGTATCTTGAATCCCAGGATTGAAGGTTGCCCAGTTAATGCACCAGGAAATGTGCAGGTTAAGTTTGTTAATTTTGCCTCAGACAGAAAAAAAATTGTCCATTGCTTGAAACTAGGGTTCAAATCCTGGGAAATAAGCTCAACATTCTAACCAACTGGCCAGCCGTACATCGCCTGTAATGGAAAACATTTATAACCATAACACCCAGCAGAAGCTGAAGCATATATAACTATGCTGTATTGGCTGCTGGCTGGACAAGAGAAAATCACTCTTACTTTTCTCTCTCAATCTGCCGCAGTGAGTCGTTCTTGATGACCTCCAAGACAAGGTTGTACTGCTTGTCATCCTGTGAAAGAAACATAACACACACGTAAACAAATCATGCTTTTCTATCTTCACTAACCTGTAATGATAAACGCTACACACACATCAATAAATCATGCTCTTCTATCATAGCCAATCTGTGATGATAAACACTACAAAACATCAGTAAATCTTGCTCTTCTATCATCTCCAATCTGTGATGATAAACACAACAAAACATCAGTAAATCTTGCTCTTCTATCATCACCAACCTGTGATGATAAACACTACAAACATCAGTAAATCTTGCTCTTCTATCATCACCAACCTGTGATGATAAACACCTACATGTCAATAAATTATGCTCTTCTATCATCCCCAAACTGAGGCGATAAACACCACAACACATCAATAAATTTCTCTATTATCGTCACCAATCTGTGATGATTTGTACTGTATTCTGATGCTAGGTTTGTACTGTATTCTGATGCTAGATTTATACTGTGCAGAGCAGTGTCAAGTATTGGTGTTATGATGTGTTGACACAGATCGGTAGCCTTGCAGTTCTGATATAATTTACCTGGGCGTGAAGAAGAAATGGAATCAAAGGACTGTTGGTTCTGGCCCAGGTGATACCTGGAACAACTAGGAGGACCTTGGAGTCAGTGGCAATTGTAAAGCTCTTTAAGGTCAGTTGTGGTCGGGTCAGGGAGCCCCATCTGGGGTTAACTATCTATGTTTGTGTGCTAAAATATATAACAACTGATAAGTATGCTCAGGTAGTGTTGGGTTGAGTATGTTGTTGCGACAGACGTTTCTGTCATGAACCTACAAATGAGCTACAGTAAACTGAGGTAGTTGACAGGGTTACTGCTCTAGTGCCAGACAGAGAGGGCCTAAGCTGGAATGACTGATTTACAAGTTTGATTTCCTCACGCTGCAAGAAATAAACACAGAAACTATGATTGGCACAGATATAACAGCTATTGGATAAGGTCTGTTGTGTGAAGAAGGGTGTGAAAAGCATAGGATGCTTGACCGGTGCCAGTGGAATTGCTATGCAAGACCGGTTCAGGGTATAAACACAGAAATAAACTTCAAACTTAACAACATCACCCAGAGTGCCTGATATCACTTTTGACACCAAACACATAAACTTCAAACTTGACAACAACACCACCCAGAGTGCCTGATATCACTTTTGACACCAAACACAGAAATAAACTTCAAACTTGACAACAACACCACCCAGAGTGCCTTATGTCACTTTTGACACCAAACACAGAAATGCTAGTCTGCTGACATACCCCATGTGCCAGGTACTTGTCCTCATCGTCCACATTGAGCTCGACTGTCAACAATTTGGCAAATCCACTCCTCATTTTCTCACGGTCACCCATGGCAGAGTAACAGAGGATCAGGTTGAAGCCAGTCTTGAAGTTGGCTGCCTCAGACATGATGTGCTCAAATGATGTAATAGCATCATTGTACTGACCCATCTTCACAAAGGTGATCCCTATGTTCTGCATGATCTTTGTCCTATAATCAAGCAAGTACAACTGATCTGTATATCCTTTCTCACCAGGGAAATGCAGATCAGGGTATCATACATTATCTATAAGTAAACAACCACACAACATCTAAATATTAGACTTGACTTCAAAACATTCAGAGTTAAATTCTGGTTATTTTGCAACCAGTTCTCACACAGGGCATTGATCATGAAACTCACCAACAACATGGAAAATTGATAGGAAGATTCACTTGACAAAAGTAATATCACAGATGGGAAGTGTTATGTCACTGCATAATGAGGTGATATGACCTCTTGACTTCCCCAACTCTTTTCTAAGAATGTATAATCAGCATGGCCACATTCTGTGTGGAGAACTACATCTGTAGGGCAGGTGTGACCATTTGCAAAAACTAAGGGGAATCTATCATAGATAAGACTTCCCTAGCCACAGCACGTAAACAGCCTCAAGAAAATTGTGGCTTGGAAAACTGGTTATAAATCTACGGGGAGGGCGTTGTGAATATGAGACTGTGAGATCATGTGACAGGAGTCAAGAAAGTAAGACCAGCTCTATACATGTGGTGTCAAAAAATAATTAGTATGTTACACACTCATGTCAAAGAAATGTAAAGCTCCAAGAAAGATAACGAGAACAAAGATGTGAAAGGTATTTTGAGGACTTGCTCCAAGCCCAGGCTCACCACAACATAAGATATTGACAAGGTGGCTGTCTGACAGTTATATAACAACATAAAAATGCTATAGGAATACTGGAGCATGTGATTGGGAAAAACAAAAGAAAATATTTTCTTCCTCCCATAGGACAGGTAGCTCAGGTGGATTCTGAGTCATGTGGCAACACAGTCACCTGGTGAAACTTGTGCACTTCTGACTTCTTCTTGACTCAGTGTAGTTGGCTCCATTGCCTGCAAATATTCAATAAATCGGAAATTCCCCCGTTACAGCAACCAGTATCTCATGATAAATGTGTATTCCTTAGATGAAGTATCTCTGACTTTGCTGATATGACACAATTCTTCCCGAAATCTCTAGTGTTTTAACATTTACTTGTCAACAGGTATTGCATTAATGTGGAGATGTGTGAAATCCCATTGATTTATGAGGGTGTGAACACTGGAAATGTGTGCTCCATTCTCAGTACTGATGAAGGTTGGCACAGCCAGGTCCCTTTTCCAAATAAGAAAACACTTCAAAATCCACCAGACTTGGCATGATGGCACTGGCTGAAATCTCGGGACAAATGTACAAGACAATATGTGACAAAAGCAAGTTTGAAAGACTGCCAGAAGAAGGTCAGCTTGCCATAGGATACAGGCCTGCCTACCCGTGCTTATGACATCAGTTTCTAAACATAGCTTTTATTCCATTCCACAAGATAATACATTTACTCCATACACAGATGTATCGTAAAGCGAACCTCATCTCCTTGTGAGTGTTGGGAACCTGGTCCAGGGCCATGCGGTAGAACTTGATGGCTTTCTGGAAGTTTCTCTGCTTGAAGTAGATGTTTCCCATGTTCACTTTCAGCCGGCCTGAGGAGATATATCAGTTAACATTAGGAAATGTTCATATGAATACCATACTGAGACATTGCTAATTTAAACTGCTAGAGCTGTCATAAAACTGCCCAGGAACAGCTTCCTGTCATTTGTCAGTGAGAGTTCATCTGGAGGAAGCTGGTCAGATCAACAATATGAGAAAATAGCTTGTGTGTGAGTGAGAGTTGCATGTGAGTGAGAGTTGTGTGTGAGTGAGAGTTGCATGTGAGTGAGAGTTGCGTGTGAGTGAGTCAAGGTTGTGTGTGAGTGAGTCAAGGTTGAGTGTGAGTGAGAGTTGCATGTGAGTGAGTCAAACTTGTGTGTGAGTGAGAGTTGCATGTGAGTGAGAGTTGCATGTGGGTGAGAGTTGCATGTGAGTGAGAGTTGCATGTGAGTGAGAGTTGCATGTGAAGATCTATACTGTACTCTATGTGAATCACTGTGGGCTTTGAGGCAACAATGAAGATCTATAATGTACTCTATGTGAATCACTGTGGGCTTTGAGGCAACAATGAAGATCTACACTGTACTCTATGTGAATCACTGTGGGCTTTGAGGCAACAATGAAGATCTACACTGTACTATGTGAATCACTGTTGGCTTTGAGGCAACAATGAAGATCTACACTGTACTATATTTGAATCACTGTTGGCTTTGAGGCAACAGTAAAGATCTACACTGTACTATGTGAATCACTGTGGGCTTTGAGGCAACAGTAAAGATCTACACTGTACTATGTGAATCACTGTGGGCTTTGAGGCAACAGTAAAGATCTATACTGTACTCTATGTGAATCACTGTGGGCTTTGAGGCAACAGTAAAGATCTTCACTGTACTATGTGAATCACTGTGGGCTTTGAGGAAACAGTAAAGATCTACACTGTACTATGTGAATCACTGTGGGCTTTGAGGCAACAGTAAAGATCTACACTGTACTATGTGAATCACTGTGGGCTTTAAGGCAACAGTAAAGATCTTCACTGTACTCTATAAGAATCACTGTGGGGGTTCAGGAGCATCATTGACAAGTGTGCTGTAAAAGTAACTCACTTTCTTCGCACCTGTAGTGTGAGGCAAGGAACCAACAGTCTGCATACAAATAAGCCAGATCTTTAAAATGGATGCACACAGGAAACTCAGGTCTAAGTCCAGAAATGGAAGAACAAGCAGAACTTTCTACCAAAATTCACAGTCGATGAATGCAACAAACAACTCTAAGTCATACTTCAGGATAGTTCCTGCACTGCATGTGGGACTACTGATTTAACTACCTCCATTAAAGAGAGGGGAGCAAGCATTGCATCTCATCTGTCAGTTTTTCATAGCTGAGACAATTACAAGAAGGAAACACTATGTATGTGTGTACCTGCGTTACTGAACATGCGGTTCTTCACAATGACCTGGTATGTGTTGATGGCCTCCTGGTACATCTCATTGGCCACGTACTGATTTGCCAGGTTGAATAGCACCTCAGAATAATCAAACACAATTATCTCAAACATATGAATCTGTATTCATGATTGAAACAAATGACTGGACATACAGGCTTGTAGGTGCATGCATTCAATCTGTATTCATGATTGAAACATATGACTGGACATGCAGGTGCATGCATACAATCTGTATCAGTTTGGTCAGTAAGCGACCTTGTTTACACGGGTGGAACACTGGGCATACGATGCTGGACTTATATATTGTAGAGACCACTCGGTGCTCAATGACTGATGTGGTCAATAGGGTGCCCCTTTTAGGCTGGGTCAACCAGTTTCAAACCCAAGACATCCAGGCCAATAGGTGATCCTCTAGGCATTGCTCCACCATGGCTTCCATAAGTTTACTACCAGATTTACGGTATTTACAATGGAATCAAGGCCGAAGGGTTGCGATATCCATAATACCGAGCCAAAGGTTTACAACTGATGGTTTCTGGATAGGTTAAAAAAAAAAAAAAACTACAAACAGTTGAAATATACAGTGAAAAAGACTTGTATAATACTGAAACTCTGGCTTGAAGACTGAGGCTAATGTGTGAAGGTGTAAATGAGTTACGTTAGGTGCTTCATTCTGATCCAGATCTTCATTAACTTCCAAGTGGGGTCTACTGGGGCAGACAACTGACTGGTCTGGACTCACAGAAGAGTTACAATGGTTGCCTACACAGATGGCAGATAATCAGCAACCATATCTGGTCCTCAGTACTTAGACAAAACATCAGTGGACTGGGTATGTGCTGCCAAATAGCCGCCAGGTATTCATGTGAAACAATCAACAATCCCATGAATGTATAGGAATGGACAAGTTCTCAAACATCAATGGTGTCTACAATTGTAAGCTGTTTGGGGGGAGGGGTGGGCAAACCATTACGGCCTGTATTGACCACTTTTGCAGTGCAAGCTGGAGGCATCCTTGAAGCGCAGGATTTGCGGTTGCCTGGCTAGTGCTGTCACCAATGACTGTGCAGGTGAGGATGTGAATTTTGCCAATAACCTTACAGAGGATTCAAACCCAGCATCTTAAACATTTGGCTAGCTGCTACCCATAAATGTAAACTATCCTGTGAAAGTAAAGCTAAACCGTATTCTACAAAAGTCAGGTATTTACCGAATATGTGAGGTCCAAGTTGATCTGGTCTGCCATGGCTAGCATCTCCCTCTGTCTGACAAGCAGCCTCTCCTTCCTGCCGGCCTCCTTGGCTTTCTCCAGTGCCTGCAGCAGGACACAAGAATCATTTATTTACTGACACAAGCACCCTTTCCTTCCTGCCGGCCTCCTTGGCTTTCTCCAGTGCCTGCAGCAGGACACACAGCTCATTTATTTACTGACACATGCACATTTATGTATTGTTCATACTTAGATCATTCTTTCACAATTGTTGTTTCCCAGAACATTCATTTCTTTCTTCACAATCATTCATACAGTGATCAATATTTCTTCACAATCGTTCAAACAATAAACATTTTTTCTTCATAATCATTATTACATGGAACATTCCGCCGTGTGGGTTCCGGGGCCCTATTGTAGGGAAAACAAGAATAGACCCACTGCCTCCCCAAAAGCATGTCGTAAGAGTCGACTAACTGGGGAGCTTCCTTTGAAGTCGGAGTGCATCTGCCTGAGAGGCAAGGAACCAGCAGTCTGCATTCAATTGAATTAGATCTGTAAAACTGATGCACACGCAACACTCAGGTTCTGGAGCAGGACTGTAGTCCAGAAGTGGACGAACAACCAGAACTTTACGCCAGAGTGTACAGCTGGTGAACGCGAAAAAGAAGAAGAAGAAGACATGGAACATTATTCCTTCACAATCATTCATACATGGAACATTATTCCTTCACAATCATTCATACATGGAACTTTATTTCTGCACAATCATTCATACATGGAATGTTATCCTTCACACATCAAATGTTATTCCTTCACAATAATTCATACACAGAGTGTTATCCTTCACAATCATTCATACATGGAACATTATTTCTTCACAATCATTCCTACATGGAATGTTATTCCTTCACAATTATTATTACATGGAACATTATTCCTTCACAATCATTCATACATGGAACATTATTCCTTCACAATCATTCATACATGGAACTTTATTTCTGCACAATCATTCATACATGGAATGTTATCCTTCACATATCAAATGTTATTCCTTCACAATAATTCATACATGGAGTGTTATCCTTCACAATAATTCATACATGGAACATTATCTCTTCACAATCATTCATACATGGAATGTTATTCCTTCACAATCATTATTACATGGAACATTATTCCTTCACAATCATTCATACATGGAACATTATTCCTTAACAATCATTCATACATGAAACTTTATATTCCTTAACAATCAATTATACATGGAATATTATTCCTTCACAATCATTATTACATGGAACATTCCTTGTACTCTCTAATAATGGGGAAGGTGTGGGCTGTTCTTTCACATTGAAATCAAATGTGACCATCAACAGTGTGTTAAGCAATTGGAAGTAGCAGAGTTGTGGTTTTTGAGAAGAGTGATTAGAATATGTAGAAAGAACACACACACAAAACTGGGGTATTACGAACTGCATATGGTGACTCAAGAGAACTGAAAAAAAAAAGACAACATAAATTTACATCAATAGGTGAGATGGAATAGAGACATTTACTTCATGTAGGTAAATATGAGGCAAAAATGGAAAATGAAGACAGTGAAACTGTGTGGAAAGATGAAACAGTGAGACAACAGATACAGTCAGTAGCATCAACTTCTTTAAAATGTTTGACCACTGATGGGACTAATTGGTGAGCCTGACCACTGATTGGACTAATTGGTGAGCCTGACCACTGATGTCTGCCTCAGACTAAGATACCTCCAGAAGAAGAAGAAGAAGCAGCAGCACAATTAGGAGGAGGAAGAGAAGAAGAAGAAGATAAAGAGAGAACAAAAAAGAAATGAAAAAGAGATGAAGAAGCGAAAGAAGAACAGAAAAGAAGAATTCAGGCAGTCCCCAATGGAATTCAGACACTGTTCATCAGACTCAAAAAGGGTCAGCCACAAAGAACATACTTGCTGGAGTGTGATAGATTGTGCATCACAGCAACATACTTGCTGGAGTGTGATAGATTGTGCATCACAGCAACATACTTGCTGGAGTGTGATAGATTGTGCATCACAGCAACATACTTGCTGGAGTGTGACAGATTGTGCATCACAGCAACATACTTGCTGGAGTGTGATAGATTGTGCATCACAGCAACATACTTGCTGGAGTGATAGATTGTGCATCACAGCAACATACTTGCTGGAGTGTGATAGATTGTGCATCACAGCAACATACTTGCTGGAGTGTGACAGATTGTGCAACACAGCAACATACTTGCTGGAGTGTGATAGATTGTGCATCACAGCAACATACTTGCTGGAGTGTGATAGATTGTGCATCACAGCAATATACTTGCTGGAGTGTGATAGATTGTGCATCACAGCAATATACTTGCTGGAGTGTGATAGATTGTGCATCACAGCAAAATGAAGCTGTGAGGTTGGCCTCCTTCCTTGCTATCAGAGACACTCACTGTGAGGTTGGTCACCTTCCTTGCTATCAGAGACACTCACTGTGAGGTTGGTCACCTTCCTTGCTATCAGAGACACTCACTGTGAGGTTGGTCACCTTCATTGCTATCAGAGACACCCACTGTGAGGTTGGTCCCCTTCCCTGCTATCAGAGACACCCACTGTGAGGTTGACCTCTTTCCTTGCTATCAGAGACATCTACTGTGAGGTTGGTCACCTTCCCTGCTATCAGAGACACTCACTGTGAGGTTGGCCACCTTCCCTGCTATCAGAGACACCCACTGTGAGGTTGGTCTCTTTCCTTGCTATCAGAGACATCTACTGTGAGGTTGGTCACCTTCATTGCTATCAGAGACACCCACTGTGAGGTTGGTCACCTCCCTTGCTGTCAGAGACACCCACTGTGAGGTTGGTCACATTCCTTGCTATCAGAGACATCTACTGATCTACTGTGAGGTTGGTCTTCTTCCTTGCTATCAGAGACACCCACTGTGAGGTTGGTCTCCTTCCTTTCTATCAGAGACACCCACTGTGAGGTTGGTCTCTTTCCTTGCTATCAGAGACATCTACTGTGAGGTTGGTCTCTTTCCTTGCTATCAGAGACACTCACTGTGAGGTTGGTTACCTTCCTTGCTATCAGAGACACTCACTGTGAGGTTGGTCACCTTCCTTGCTAGCATCTCCCTCTGTCTGACAAGCAGCCTCTCCTTCCTGCCGGCCTCCTTGGCTTTCTCCAGTGCCTGCATCAGGACACAAGAATCATTTATTTACTGACACAAGCACCCTTTCCTTCCTGCCGGCCTCCTTGGCTTTCTCCAGTGCCTGCAGCAGGACACAAGAATCATTTATTTACTGACACAAACACCCTTTCCTTCCTGCCGGCCTCCTTGGCTTTCTCCAGTGCCTGCAGCAGGACACACAGCTCATTTATTTACTGACACATGCACATTTATGTATTGTTCATACTTAGATCATTCTTTCACAATTGTTGTTTCCCAGAACATTCATTTCTTTCTTCACAATCATTCATACAGTGATCAATATTTCTTCACAATCGTTCAAACAATAAACATTTTTTCTTCATAATCATTATTACATGGAACATTATTCCTTCACAATCATTCATACATGGAACATTATTCCTTCACAATCATTCATACATGGAACTTTATTTCTGCACAATCATTCATACATGGAATGTTATCCTTCACACATCAAATGTTATTCCTTCATAATAATATTCATACACAGAGTGTTATCCTTCACAATCATTCATACATGGAACATTATTTCTTCACAATCATTCCTACATGGAATGTTATTCCTTCACAATTATTATTACATGGAACATTATTCCTTCACAATCATTCATACATGGAACATTATTCCTTCACAATCATTCATACATGGAACTTTATTTCTGCACAATCATTCATACATGGAATGTTATCCTTCACATATCAAATGTTATTCCTTCACAATAATTCATACATGGAGTGTTATCCTTCACAATAATTCATACATGGAACATTATTTCTTCACAATCATTCATACATAGAATGTTATTCCTTCACAATCATTATTACATGGAACATTATTCCTTCACAATCATTCATACATGGAACATTATTCCTTAACAATCATTCATACATGGAACTTTATATTCCTTAACAATAAATTATACATGGAATATTATTCCTTCACAATCATTATTACATGGAACATTCCTTCACTTGTACTCTCTAATAATGAGGAAAGTGTGGGCTGTTCTTTCACACTTAAATCAAATGTGACCATCAACAATGTGTTAAGCAATTGGAAGTAGCAGAGTTGTGGTTCTTGAGAAGAGTGATTAGAATATGTAGAAAGAACACACACACAAAACTGGGGTATTATGAACTGCATATGGTGACTCAAGAGAACTGAAAAAAAAAAGACAACATAAATTTACATCAATAGGTGAGATGGAATAGAGACATTTACTTCATGTAGGTAAATATGAGGCAAAAATGGAAAATGAAGACAGTGAAACTGTGTGGAAAGATGAAACAGTGAGACAACAGATACAGTCAGTAGCATCAACTTCTTTAAAATGTTTGACCACTGATGGGACTAATTGGTGAGCCTGACCACTGATGTCTGCCTCAGACTAAGATACCTCCAGAAGAAGAAGAAGAAGCAGCAGCACAATTAGGAGGAGGAAGAGAAGAAGAAGAAGATAAAGAGAGAACAAAAAAGAAGATGAAAAAGAAATGAAGAAAAGCGAAAGAAAGAACAGACAAGTAAGAATTCAGGGGCAGTCCCCAATGGAATTCAGACACGGGGTGTTCATCAGACTCAAAAAGGGTCCAGCCACAAAGAACATACTTGCTGGAGTGTGATAGATTGTGCATCAACAGCAACATACTTGCTGGAGTGTGATAGATTGTGCATCACAGCAACATACTTTGCTGGAGTGTGATAGATTGTGCATCACAGCAACATACTTGCTAGAGTGATAGATTGTTGTGCATCAGCAGGACAACATACTTGCTGGAGTGTGATAGATTGTGCATCACAGCAAAATGAAGCTAGTGAGGTTTTTGCCTCCGTCCTTGCTATCAGAGACACTCACTGTGAGGGGAATTGGTCCCCTTCCTTGCTATCGAAAGAGACACTCACTGTGAGTTCTGGCTCACATTACCTTGCTATCAGAGACACTCACTGTGAGGTTGGCCACCTTCCTTGCTATCAGAGACACCCACTGTGAGGTTGGCCACCTTCCTTGCTATCAGAGACACCCACTGTGAGGTTGGCCTCCTTCATTGCTATCAGAGACACTCACTGTGAGGTTGGTCACCTTCCTTGCTATCAGAGACATCTACTGTGAGGTTGGCCACCGTCCTTGCTATCAGAAACACCCACTGTGAGGTTGGTCACATTCCTTGCTATCAGAGACATCTACTGTGAGGTTGGCCACCTTCCTTGCTGTCAGAGACACCCACTG